AGCTAATCAAGTATTTTCAATTTCCCTTATATTCTTAAAATTATCTTCAATTTATGGTAGTTGTGGACACTTATGGGGTACAAAGCAAAATTTATTACATAGATATGCAATAAAAATGTAACACATCCATCATGGTACCAAATTGTCTATGGTTAGCATACTTTATAAGATCTTATCTTAAAATTTTTAAGATACAGACTCACTTTTAACTAGTCACTATACAAGTGCAAGAGTTCCCAGGAGCTTACCTCTGGAATCTAACTGAACCTTCTACTCTTTGAGCAATGATTTCTCTGTCTTTTCTCCCCTCATCCTCTCCCTCTAGCCCTGACCCAAAATCTTGGTTACCTCTATTTGTGGGAGCTTGACTTGTTTACAAGTGACACAAGGCCAAGATCACAAAGTACCCATCTTTCAGTGCTGGATTGCTTTTTATGTAGTCCAGCCTCTTCCAGGTCCATCTTATCATTGACTTAATTTCCCCATTTTTGTAAATTTTGTATTATACCAGAATATCTATTATGTTTCACAAATCTTTAGACATGGATAGGATGTCATGATTTTTCATCCAAGGGTACATTCCCTAAAGTTTTGTTAGATTATGAAAATAAGCCAGATTTTGAAAAATATTGGATTAGTGTTCAAATTGATTGGAATTTTATAATAGTGTAGGTTTAATGATTTTGTGGTCACCTTAAAAGTTTTGTATGAATTTAAGCATGCTTTCATTTGATTGATTATAGTGCATGCCCATTTTTTTTTTCCTTAAGGTTTATGTATTTATTTATTGGAAAGTCAGATGCACAGAGAGGAGCATCTGCTAATTCACTCCAAGTGGCCGCAACAGCCAGAGGCTCTTCCAGGTCTTCTAGTGGGTGCAGGGTCCTAAGGCTTTGGGCGGTCCGCCACTGCTTTCTCAGCCTACAAGCAGCAAGCTGGATGGGAAGTGGGGCCACTGGAACATGAACCAGTGAGGACTTTTAGTCACTAGTCCACTGCACAGGACCACCTTTGCCCATTTTCTTGATGGACTATTGTGGTTTTAATTGTGATTTGCTGAATTCTTGTTTCAAGCCTTTGATTACAATGAAAATTTTTAAATTACCTAAAAAAAAAAAAAACTAAGTTGAAACAATTTTTTTTTTAGAAATTTTGCAACTTAATTTTCAGTTTCAAGTTGCAATAATGGTGAAGTTTTATTATTTTCTTTCTGGATATTTTAGCATTATATATTTCTTATATTCTTATTTTACATTATACAGTTCTGTATGTATAGGGCTTTCCCCATCGCTCCCATTGTACCCTGTATTTTACAATAATATAGTCCTTTAGCTGCAGTCATGACTCCAACATTCTGCTCTTTACATGTATCATGACATTGTTGGTAGAGGCAATGGCAAAGAAGTGTCTTATTAGTGTTTAACAATATGTTGTTTCCTATTTTTCTAACAAAATTAACATTACCCAGGATCATAATTGTTTCATTAAACTCAGACCATTCCCTTAGGGCATTAATATCCTAATTTATTCTTGATTTGATTTAGGCTAAATATACAAATTTGATTAGGACAAAGTCTTTGAAGTCAAGGTAGTTCCAAACACTGAATAAGAAATAAAGCAAATTGTAATGAAATGCTCTTAGGTAATTGTCACAAGGAACAGAAGCAGCCCAGGCAGAGTGTGGTGGAGCTAATTAGATATAGAAATACTTAATATATCTACAATCATACCTTGACACTGTTCTCAAATAGGGGAAAGATGTGTAGGGAAAGTTACTTCGTTTGACAATTACAAATATTTTAATATCAAAATCCACATGTATTTATTAGCACTAAAGTGTAAAATTAATAGGACTGATGAGCCATATGTTCTACTAAGGAATTTGGATTTCAATTTTATAGCCAATTTGATTTCCCAAATATTTTTCAAGTGAGGACTATAAAATCAGCACTGCATGTTATATTATTTGGCAGTGTTGTGGGGGAATAATTGGATTAAAATGTAAGTGGAAATCAAAGCTGAAGAAATAACTGTACTAATATGGAAGCTGAATGAGGAAGCATGCCTCAGTATACAATAAGATTTCAACAAACTGGGATAAAAATTAAAGTGAGTCAGAAAGATTCCATGGAGTTTTTTTGACATATTGATCCTTTTTCAATGCTAATTACTCCACTAATGCAATACACTATAATGTGCATAGGAAAATCAAAGTATACAAGGAATGTGCCTTATATTTTCATAGCATTAAATGGAAGCAATGTATAAGCTTCAAAGAATAATGAGTTCCAAACAAGTGTTACAGGTAGTAAAATGTTGATATAGTCAGGTAATTGGTTTTAAGAAAGTTGTAGATGAGTTGAAGAAAAGAGGTTGGGCAGATACATTGGGTCAGTATTCATTACATCTGCAAAGAAGTGATTTCAGCTTTCTGCACAAGTGTGATGATGGGCTGTATTACTCTAATGTATAGGTTATATTGTGTAAAGTTACGTTGAGGAGGAAACGCCATTAATATTATTAAAATAAGACAAGTACTAGATGTGTGTATATAAATGCCTTTTTAATTTTTTTCATTTAAAGGGTTAACCATGATCTTAGGATTCAGAGGAAATCCTTTTCAAATTTAAAAAAAAAAAGCAGTCATTAATTTTTAGAATGCTTGTTCCATTTCTTTTCCAAAACAAGTTTCTCTAGATTCAGAGGATTAACCTCATTTCCACTTATATTTAAGGAGAAATGAAAAGTGTTGTGGCACAATTGAGGGTACCTTTAAGACCATATTGTTCAAACAAGACTCAGATTTTTAAGTGCTTGTCAAAGAACAAGGAGAAAACTAGAGGCAGACGTGCAAATAAAAAGATATGGTTTCTAGTCTGGGTTTGGGACTTGACCGAGATGCAAATTAAAAGCTAACAGCAAGAGTTAAACTATTCAGGAAGAGTTCAAGAAAATGAAAACATAATTATTCTACCATTTCTGACCTACATGAGTTTGTGCTATACCTCATCCCTCTAGGACCTTCTTTGTAAGGTACAAGAGGTGCAGGGGAGGAAGGTAGCATCATAGATACTCATGATTTATTATGTTTTGATCATAATATGCATTTCTATATTGTCTTCTGTATGCTATTGATTTTGGTCCTCAAACATAATTTCTCATAATGTACCTTTCAAATAATCCTATTTCCATGAGTCATAATTTCATTTGTATTGAAAATGCAGAGTTATAATAACCAGTAGATAGATTTTTTCTTTTCATCTCTTTAGCTCTGCCTGTTGCATCTATTTGGATAGCTATAGATGACTGTAAACCTGGGTGCCAGGTAGGGTTCCAAGGACGTGTGCCATCCTTTGCTGCTTTCCCAGGCCATGAATTGGAACAGAGAGAGCAGTCAGAACGCAAACCAGCACCTATATAGCATGCCACTTACTGCAGGTGGAGGATTGGCCAATTGAGAGATTGTGCTGGCTCCTACTTATGTCATTCTAAATTTATCTCCATGAACTTAAAAAATTACTGATGATAGTGGAGGCTTTCCTTGAAAACCTGAAACCCAGAGAGAATTCTCACCTGGTATAGTGATAAACACCTTAAAATATATCATGTATACTGTTCTCTAATCCTCTTCCTTCCGGGACTAGGTCTGTCTTGGTTGCTTTTTTCCTCATACTTCATTTCTGGTGACCTAATTATATACAGGTGCCAACAGTTTAATAATCAGTAGTTTAAATTATACCATGCAGAATATAGATAGGATTTGGACTATGAATTCTATTTACTTGAAATAACATTAGAAAAAAACCTGCCTTTTTCTAATGATGAAATAGATATTTAAAATGTTACAGATCACTAAAACTATGTAGAAGTATGATATTTAGCATTTTTACAGGATTTAAAACAAATATGACAAAATACTATATTCATGGTCAAATGGATAAATGGAATTTATTTTTATTTTAGCTCCTGCTTATAAGAAAGTATGTGGTATTTGTTTTTCTAGTTTAGGCTTACTACACTCACCATGATGCCTGCCAGCTGTAATAATTTTTATGCAAATTATAGAATTTAAATATTTTTAATTGCTAGGTAATATTCCAGGTGTGTGTACATGTATCATTTTCTTTATCCAGTGATGGACCCTTGGTTGATTCCACATTCTGGCTATTGTAAACAGAGCTATTATAAATGTGGTTAGCATATCATTTTAATACAATGGCCTTCTGTCATTATTTCTGAAGTTGGGATATATTAATGTTAGGAACTTAGTCTTAAAATTTGAACTAGTATTAAGACACACCTATTCCCTTCTCCTTTCCTCTAATGCAATTCTTACCATTTAAATGCTAATTTATGACTTCAAAGCATAATATCTAGTACTTTTGTACCACAGAATTGCTATGTCTCATGTTTCTTTATGATAATTATTATCAGAGCATGTTCAGGGTGTCTATTGAGCTTAGTCGTTAGTAAACATCTTGGGATGCTTACATCCCATGTAGAAGTTCTTCTGATGATGTTTTGGCTCTGTTCTAGGTTCCTACTAATTTGACCCACTCTGAACAGTCACAAAAATTTTCCACTGCAGAAATAATTTAAAAACTCAGCAGTGAACTTGACAGCTTTTAGCTTCTTAGTAAAATCTGTAATTTGAAGAATTTATTATACCATAATCTTCATTTCTCAAAACCATAATGATTATGAAATCACAGTGTTGAGTAAACCCTCTTCCTCTATAGTTTAAGATACAGGTCTGTGAGTGTGGTAACATTTTTTCTCTAAACAGTCATCTGGTAGTTGAAACTTACTTCTCTATAAAGCCACTTATTTTAAGAAACAATTGTTACCTCTGTTTTCTTACTGATTTCATCATAGCTTCCTTAGGTGGTAATGTATTTTAAATAATATTTCTCATTAAGCAGAAGCTGATTTGTTATATTTTTAGCTGCATTCCACTAATAAAACAATTGAAGCTAACAATATTGAGGACTGGTGGAGTGCCTGAGACATACTTTTTCATAAAACAAGCTACAGGAACACATTTAAGAAAGATTCCAAGAAAACAAAGAACTTACCTGAGTTTATACCGAAGGCCTCTTCTGAAAATATGTTTGCAATTTTTCTACTTTGCTGATAGAAATCCTGTGAATGTGAAAAATCAGGTGAAATTTGTCAATACAAGTTTAATTGGAGTATCCTTCAACTGCTTGGGAAAACTACTAGAGAGCATGACCCCCATATGAAATCTACTATAATACAATGAATTGGAGTTGTTCATGATTACAGAATAACTCTAGGAATGACAAGATGGTACAACATGGGCTCTCCCACCTGCTGACCAACCTTATCAAAGGTGGGTGCTACATGTGAAGAATGGCTAACCACACTGTTGAACCTGTGTATTCAAACTTCCCTGCTCTGTGCATTTGCATTCATTACCTGTTTATTCATAGGAAGATGGAGCAAAACATTGGGACTTATTCTTCCCTGGAAGTAAATTTGAGGGAAGGGTAAAGGCCTTTTTCTTAGCCACAGGGTAGAAACTCTCTGAACTTCAATAAGTGATCAACACTGTCAAGGTAAAGAACCAGGAAAGATGTTACTATCTTCTATTTTTGTTACACATGTCCCCCTTTTTGAATAATATTTGAAATATAGAGATGAAATCCAGTGGCCTTGCTTATACTGATATCTGTGTTTATGCTACCCCTAGGCACAGAAGGAGCAGTATTTGGGCACTCTGTGGAGACCCCTCACATCAGAGCAGAGCCATCACAAGACCTCAAGTAAGTCCCCACTTATATCTCTGTCATGTTTTCCACAAATGTTGACTATTCTCAACATCTTAAAAGAACTAAAATAGAAAATGCATTTCATACTTGCATTGAGAAGTAGCATTGCATTCCTCCAGTTAAGAATTTGACAGCAAAAACAAAAACCGAAAAAACCCAGTGTGACCTATTATCCTAACCTTATCCATATCTCCACTACTATTTTTACAATGAATGTAACAATGAAGGTATCAGACATGTGTGTAAATTGTGGAAAAGGAAAAGACAGGCTATAGAAGAAATTGAGAATAGGACCAGTTGAAAATATTAATACATGCACAGGCACAAAGTTAGGGGAGGCATGGAGTAGGAGATAGCACAAAAACATCAGCTAATATGTATGGGCGAGTGCAGAAGCAAAAGGCAGTGTGGCCAGCTACAGGTAGGACATCATTGTTCTGTGTTCTTCAGGACAGTATTTCCAATGCAATAAAATGCTCTGATACTGCACTGTTTGCACATAAAAGTCCTCATTATGGAGAGGTATGTGAAGTTGTCAACACTATAGAAATTCTCTCCAAAATCATCATTGCAACAGTTGAAGAAAATGAAACATTAATTTCTAAATAATATTGCTTTAAGAACACCCATGCACAAGTAGGTTGAAATGTGAAGATAAAACATGTCTTCAGCTAACTAAATCTGGATTGGTTAATCACATTATTTGTGATACTAGATGAAGCTATCACCATTACTATAATGATAGCAAAAAAGGTCATGTTAAAAATCACTTTTTAAAGTTAGATCAGCATATCAACCTGATAGGGTCTTGAACAAGGGAGTTAAAATGATGTTTCACACAGAATATTTTTCAGTCTCCATTGCATGAGTGGAAAAATACTCAAATGAAGACAGAAGGATCTCAGGGTGACATGGCTGTGGCAACTATCACCCCTTCTACCAGTTACTCTGGGCTGCTGTTCCCTCCCTAAGAGCTCCACTGGAGGAAGAAGAGGTCTACTTTGCCCATGCAGGAGTGCTCTTTGATCAAGGGTATAGAAGTAGCTGGGTTCACCTACCAGAATCTCCAAATAAGGCCTTGGGGTCCATTCATAGAAGAATGCAGCTGGTCCGACTCCAGTACTGTGAAATAGGCACTGCATGAGGAAGCCAACTTTTCTTTAAGTAAAAGAAAACAGTTTGTAAGTTATCATGGTAACAGTTAAGAAAAAAACATTGATCCAAGAAGCTAGTAAATAATGTCAAGAGGTGGTCGTCTGGTGAGGGGCTATTTATACGTGCAAAAAATTATTACTTATTCCATGCAAAATCTGAATTTCTTTAGAAGGGATGAAGAATATATGTTGTCCATTATCTAATAATGTGCTCTGACTTTGATCTGTGGGTTATTTTATGCCTCTGCACCTAATAAGCCTGTAAGTTTCATTATAAAAAAGAATCATATCTTCCTTGCTTAGCCTTTGCTCTACAGCAGGCATCACTGTGTTTGAATCTTGTATATAGTACACATAAGCTAAGAAATAATCAATGAACTCACTGTATGTGATAAATGTCACAGCAGTTCTTTTTTGCCAGATGATTGTGAACTTGGAAAAATATAAACAAAACTCCATTTTTATCAGCTACCATTCTCTGGTGTAATGCATCGCCTCCAAAATGTTGTAAGTTCCCAAAGAAGAATTTTTACTTCTAATATATTGGTGTCTTCTTATTCATTTTTCACTTTCTAAAATGAAAAGTCTATTGCTTCAAGTAAGAGACAATTGGTAGTTTAATAGCTGACATGCTTAAAAACAAAACTGTAAATTAGCATATGCATGTGGCATTTTTAGCTGTTAGTTTAATGCTTAAATGATGGAAAGTTGGAAACCTAGTGCATCTGAGAGCATACTTGTCAAGTTCTGACATGGTCTTGCTTACCTCAATTCTAGAGGTGCAATGCAGTAACGATTAGGGGTGCTCAATTGTTTCAATCTCCAGATTGAAAGCAGTGTGTCTGTAAAGAATTCTCCAAGCCTTGCTGACACATTTCCTTCCAGAGCTTTAAGGTGAGATCATTGGCCAAGTAAATTCTTTAGAAAGCAACATTCCAAACATAGTGAATTTTGATAATTTACTCAATTATAATGAGCATGTAAGCATAAAATCTGGGTTTTTATGCCACATGTGTAATTTCTGTGGTTTTGTGTATTCATGTAAGGTGATATTATTTGCTAGAGATTGTTATCCTTGAAAGGCTAACATATACTATTTTTCTCATCTGTGCAGAATGCATTTGCCTGAAATAGTTCAAGTGTTAACCTTCTTCTATGATTTCTTAAATATATATATATATATATAAACTCTTACAGTGAAAATAATTCACTATAGAGTACAGAAATTAAGTGCATTGCATATTGATCATTGGCAATGATCATTTGGATCTTAACTTCATTAATGATCCTAATAAAAGTTCCCTTGGATTTAGTAAAATGAAACATTATCTGATTTATAGGTCAAAATAACAACAAAACAGTGTTTTTTATGTATAAAATTTAAAAGCTTTGAGATACAAAGGTTAACGTCTTGAAACATTTCTCTCTAAGCTGCATCAGTCCTACCCTTAAGGAGAAGCCGCATCCACTCAGTAGTATGGATATTGCCTGAGACATTCCTTCAATCGATGGATGGATAAGTTCCCTGGAATAAAAAAAAACATACAATCATATTCTCTCCCTCCTCTTTTTCCTTTCTGGTGTCCTTTAGCTTTTTTCATCCCATGTATGATTGTGCGTGTTTATTCAGATTTAATTGCAAATGAGCACGATGAGAAATAGCTTGTAAACAGTAAATTGGGTTTGTTTGATGTAAGATAGGAGAGGCATAAACTAATAAGAATAAAGGGGAAAAAGCCGTGTTGCTTGCAGCTGAAAAAAGCTTATTATAACCTTGAAGTGATTTCTTAAAGTTTTGATTTTTTTTTTAAACCACCTAGGCTGTAAGTTCTGCTCCATCATTAAACCTACTGATAATCAGTGAGCACCTAGGATGCCTGGACGCTCTGTCAAATGCTCAAAAAGAAAAACACACATGTTTCCTAACCTTTTTAAGTTTCAAGAGGCAACTACTACATGGAAATGTGGTGTTTTGTTTTTTGTGGCTTTTTTCAAGATGTTGAACATTTTTATAATAACTTAAACCATTAATTCACAAATATGATAAGTATTTAAGCTATATTTTTATCTTTGGTTACATAATAAAGTTGCTTTTGTAAAAGATCAAGGAACTCAAATTTAACATTAATTATTTCTACTATAACTCCTGGGTACTCACTGTTGAAATTAGCTTCAAAGTTTACTGCTAGGTAGTTCTCAGAATGAATATATTTAGAATTCACCAACTTCATAGACTACAGAGTGTTGTAACGATTTTAGTAAAGGCTGCTACTACAATATAAGCAAGAAGTGTCCATATATCCTCCATAGTGAAGTCCTGGAAGGTTCTATCCAAAAGAGAGGGGTAACACTTAATCGTTGATATGGTTTTGCTCATAATCTACTTACTTGTAATTCTAGAAGTTAATTCAGGTTCAGTCTGATAGCAGTCCCAAGATTCAAAGCCAGGATATTTGTATAGTTCAAAATGCTTTGAGAAGTATAATATATTCAGATAAAATCAGAAAAAAAAAACACTGCAGTAACTATTTTATGCTTCATTGGCTTATGAAACATTTGTACATTTATCACATTATATAACAAACCCTTATATGCCCACATTAAGAATGGCATGATTATAATGTTCCTTGTGTTCTTTAATCCGTATAGTGTTTGCTTTCTCCTGTTTTGAATGTTGAATATCTATTGGAGTATGGTTTCAAGGGTAGAGTGGCAGAGAGTAGAATGCCACAAAAGCAGGCCTGGCCAAGTGGAAGCCAGGAACACCACCAGGGCTTCAAGGAGTGTGAAGGGGTGTAGTACTTGGGCCCACAACTGCTGTCTTCCTGTATGTATTGGCAGAGATCCAGACTATACAGGGACCAAGTACTGGTATAACCTACTGCTATATTAATGCTGTGTTTATTAATCACATTGAAAATTCAAGTGGAATACTTTATATTTCTTTATAAATCATCTTTCAGAAAAATTTTAATCCTATGTGCATATGTGCTCATAAATACTTATGTAAAACATTTTCAGTTTTTCCAGATTAATGAATTCTGTCTTAAGAGTTCCCTTTTCTAGATTTAAGATACAAAAATTATTAGAGGAAGTTATAATCTAATTGTTCAAAATGAATGTTACTATAACTAAGTGAAAGTTTTTTTGGAATAGATAAGATTAGGGTCTTTTTCCCTGACTGAGCTCTTTAGTGAAGCATGTAATGTTTGACTATAAGGTAAATTAAATGGCAAGGATGGGTGTAGAAAAATATTGCATCTAGAATTGTATCTAGGGATCCAACATGACTGATCTGTGAAAATAACAGAAAAGCAAAGGAAGGACCACATTCCCTGGTACAATTTGCTGGAAAATCTCAGTGAAACCTGGGAAGAGAGAGAGAGAAGCCAGGAGAGAGGGCAGCAGCACACCAGCTGTGACCTCCTGACTTGCAGAAAACTGCCATCTTCCGGCAGCTAAAGTCCTTGCCTTGAATACCCCGGGATCCCATATGGGTGCCGGTTCTAACCCCAGTGGCCCTACTTCCCATCCAACTCCCTGCTTGTGGCCTGGGAAAGCAGTCGAGGACATCCCAAAGCTTGGGGACCCTGCACCCATGTGGGATGCCCGAAAGAACTTCCTGGATCCTGGCTTCAGACCGGCATAGCATCGGCCATTGCGCTCACTTGGGGAGTGAATCATCAGATGGAAGATCATCCTCTCTGTCTCTCTTCCTCTATGTATATCTTACTTTCAAATAAATAAATAAAAATCTAAAAAAAAATGCCATCTTCCCAGACAAAGTAACTGTACTTTTAGAGGCTGGCACTGCACAGCAGCAGGCCAATCACCTACCCTGTGGTGCAAGTGTCTCAGAGGTTGATTTCCTGGGTTTCCTGGCTGCTCTGCTTCTGACCCACTTTCCTCTCATGTCCTAGAAGAGAAATGCAAGATGACCCAGGGCTTATGCACCCACATGGGAGACCTGGATGAAACTTCCAGCCCCCAGACTCAGCTTAGCTCTACTCATTGCAGCCTTCTGGGGAGTGAACCAGCAGAGGGAAGAACATCTCTCTGTAAATCTGTCTTCCAAATGAAGAGGAGTATACTGTGCTGCACATCACCAGGAGTTCTAAATGTCTGAGAAGTTCGCTGTCCCCACTCACTGTCAGAGAGGAACACATACCCATTGAACCCACATTTCTTCCCTTTTCTCCCCTAAGTGAGACTCAGTTTACTGAGGTGGAGCTCCAACTCATCACTGCCCTAACTTGGAGAATGACAAACCTCTCACTGCAGAGATTAGACAAAACAGAGAGCAAACGCTACACACCTTGTGGCTGTGGGAGTTAGTCATAGGTGGAACTGGGTTCCTGGAAACTTACCTGATGTGACTGGTAGCTTGGGGCTGAGAGCTTGGAGGCCACACAATGGAACTCGTCAAAGCTGTGTGTGATTGGGGTTCGCTGACATTGTCAGTTCACTGTAGACAGTGAATTAGCTGCTAACCTTGCCACAGAGAAGAGGTGAAGTTATCATCGGGCCAGCCAGCATCAACATTCATCTGTCTAGACCATAGATGATTATCTACCACACCAACATTGGGTGTCACTCGGGACTCTTGCTCCCTGGACCCACCCAAGCCACACCTCTGTATCTCTTATGGAAACTACAGAATTCACCCAAACTGCTGGAGGTACATCTCCCACAAAAAAAGATTTCAGAGGAAATAGCAATAGTTGATTCCTCAAATGCATAAAAAAAATCAATATAGAAAAACAAGAAATATGAACAAAGGCAATATAACCCCTCAAACAGAATACAATATTGCATTGATATTAAAGCTGTGATGATTAAGAGATTGAAAAAATGCCTGAGAAGCAATTTATAAGGATGCTTGTAGCATTACTGAACAACACCAGAAGCAGTTACAAGATATAAACTCATGAATAACATAGATGAGAAATTCTACAAAGAGATATCTGAAGAAAAATAACAAAATATTAGAAAAGAGGAGTTCAATATGTCTAAGCCTTAGCAGATTTACTGAGGCAAAAGAAAGCAAGCTGAACTAGAAGACAAGTGTTTTGAAATGTGTCAGTAATACAAGAGAAAATAAAAACAGAAAAGCTGAAAAAGGTGTTTGGGTTAAAAGTGGTATCACACAGAACCCAATATATTTTTTAGAAGTTCCTGAAAGTATAGGGGAAAGTAGGGGCTTAGAACACTTGCCCAGTGGGGCTGGTCTGGTGGCAGAGCACACTGTTGCACCAGCATCGCATATGGGTGCCAGATGTACTGCAAGTGGAGCAACCAGGACAACAACTCTCTGGTTTTGGCCTGGGAAAGAAGTGAAGGATGGCCACACAATGGAACTTGAGTACTTGGGCTCCTGCACTCACCTAGAGGAAGCTTCAGGCTCCCAGTTCTGGATCTGTCCATCTCTGGCTACTGAAGATATCTGGGGAGTAGACCAAATGATGGAAGATTTTTCTCTGCCTCTCCTTCTCTCTGTAAAATAAGCCAATCAAAAATAAATCTTATCTTTACAAATTTAATAACAGCACGAATCTCCCATTTTGTAGAAAAATTTGTACATCCATCAAATATGTTAAACACAGTATAGCATGATTAGAAAATATATTCACCATTACACACTATATCCAAATTTTCAAAAGTAAAACCAGTATTCTAAAATATGCAACTTAGAAAGGTCAGATTACCTGTAAAGGAGCTCCAGTTATAATTGTGCAGATCTCTCTACAGAAGCTCAGTAAGTCAAGAAAAAAATGGAGTGATATGCTTCATGTCCTAAAAGAGAAACAACAAATTGTCAGAATAACTTTACTCAATGAAACTCTTCTTTATAAATGAAAATGAAATAAGGGACATCTCCAAATGAGCAAAATATATAGCATTTGTCATCTGGCCTGTCTTAAAAATGATACTTACAGATTTATTAAAAATAAATTTTTTAAAAAAATAACCTTCATTAAAGAATGTGAAAGCAGAAACCAATAAAGAATATTCAAAACGAATAATATTTATGGGAAAATGGCAGAACTAGGTCTACACAGGAGAGACCGAGGAAGATATACTGCACCAATGCGAAGCTGGGAGCCAGGAGCTCTTCCGGGTCACCCATGTGGGTGCAGGGTCCCAAGGTTTGGTCCATCCTCGACTGCTTTCCCAGGCCACAGGGAGGGAGCTGGATGGAAGGGAGGGCCGCTGGGATTAGAACCAGTGCCCATATGGGATCCCAGAGCGTACAAGGTGAGGACTTTAGCTGCTAGACTATCGCACCTGGCCCTGAACCAAGTCATTCTTAAGGCTACAGTAGAGGTGTATTTAACCAATGTCAGAGCACCTGGGTATTTAATAGAAAATGTTAATCTAAAGGGAAACAAAGTCTATTATAGTAACCATGTTCTTCAAGACAATATTTGCACCAATTAAAAGACCAGTGTACAAAAATCAACAAACAGCTAATCCACACTATGGACCAAATGTATCTAATTGATATCTCTAGAAACTTCATCCTACAACTGTAGAATCACATTATTTTCATCTAGATATAAAACATTCTCTAGGGTAAATTATATATTAATACATAAAACAAATTTCAACCAATCCAAAAAAAAACCACCAAAATTATATGATCCATCATTTCCAATAACAATGGGATTAAGGTGCAAATTAGAAATATAAATTATAAAAACTCTACAAACACATCAATATTAAATTATATATACTCCTGGATGACAATAGATAAAATCATCATAGAAGAAATCAAAAGGGATATAAAACAGTTCCTTCAAGTGAAAGAAAATGAAAATACAACATGCCCAAACTTATGGGAAACCACAAAAGCAATGTTAGGAAAGTTCATAGCAATCAGTGCCTGCATCAAAATATTAGAAACATATTCCACAAGTGATTTTACAATGCATCTCTTGAAAACAACAAACCTAACCCCAAATTAATAAGAGAAAATCAATGATAAAAAGAACAAAATGGAATAAATGCTGTATATTATAAAAAATATATTAATGTAGCTATTTTTTTCTTTTATTTGCAAAATGAATAAAACTGTTAAACCTTTGGACCAACCTCGAGAAGATTTTAAAATAATTCAAACTGGGGGGCCCAGCACAATAGCATAGTGGTTAAAGTCCTCACCGGTATGCACCGGGATCCCATATTGGCGCCGGTTCTGATCCTGGCAGCCCCACTTCCCATCCAGCTCCCTGCTTGTGGCCAGGGAAAACAGTTGACGACAGCACAAAGCCTTGGGACTCTGCACCTGTGTGTGGGAGACCCAGAAAAGCTCCTGGCTCCTGCATTTGGATTGGATTGAACCATTGGACAGAAGATTTTTCTCTCTCTGTCTCCTCTATATCCGCCTTGCCAATAAAAATTCAAACTGGGCCCAGGGCAGTAGCCTTGTGGCTAACGTCCTCATCTTGCACACACCAGAAGCTCATATGATTGTCTCGGTTGCTCCTCTTCCCATCCCGCTCCTTGTTTACGGCCTGGGAAAGCTGTCAAGGACGGCCCAAAGCCTTGGGACCCTGCACCCACATGGGAGACCTGGAAGAGGCTCCTGGCTTCGGATTGGCTCATCTACAGCCCCTATGACCACTTGGGGAGTGAGCCAGTGGACAAATCTTCCTCTCTCTCTCTTTGTATACCTGATTTTACAAAAAAAAAAAAAAAAAAATTAAAAAACAAATTAAATCAGATATGAAAGAGGAGATATTACAATGATATACACTATGGAAGAGCAGATACATCACAACACCTATAAAAAAGAATTTGAATACTTATGAACAATTTAACCAAGGATGTGAAATATCTCCACAATGAAATTATAGATTGTAATTCTGGAAACTGTCTTGACATGATTTCCCAACTGAAAAATAGGCTCCTGCTCATTCACTGTCCAGGATGAACAGTCAATCAGTGTATCCAGCAGGTTCTGTGACCATTTAGGCTTTCACAATCAGATGGCATGGGAGGTATCAGCATTGAAATCTGCCTGTTTGTGCTAGTCTCATAGAATATATGCAAAGTACTGGCAATATTATCATCAAACAGTAGCTTGGACCTGAAGTAACGTAGTATGCCTACAGAAAGGCAGTACAGTCCACTTTTAGTTCTGCATAGTACTGTGCTCCAGGGGTTCAGCATCAAAGTGTTTGCAACAGTGAGGCTAAGTATCATCAGCTCTCTTATGTCAATGGAATAATCTCAAAGGACTTCTAATGAAATAATTCGCAATTTAGATATAATTCACTTCTCACATCTATATACCATTAGATGTAGATGTTTGGTAAAAGAACACCAAACAGTCTGAAGTAAAGGTAGTGGAGGAAGAGAAGGAGTCAAAGTCAGATGGGGAAGTAGAATAAGACATGGGTGATATGAATTCACCAAGACGCTGCACCATCGCTTTGCAAAGCTCAGAGGAGAACAGTAAAAGTAGCAGCAGCTGAACACAGCACATCTGGATGGTTACAAGAACTCAAACCATGAGCTATACTATAAAACCCTCTGCGCATTAGATTCCCAAACTGGGAAACCTGATGAACACGATGAGGCTCCTGTGCAGCTGAACTTTGACAAGCACTGTGATAGAAAGCTGCCCACGTACTGATCTGTCATTCCCCTCAAGATTTGAGTTGTAGGTACAGGGACACAGGAATGCTTGCTCAACAGGGTCCCCAGCCTCATAGCCTCTGCAGTTCCCTACCCTCTGTAGATCTCTGCTTCTACACATCGTCAGGGAAATCCACTGGACTGAGTATAAGCATGTTCACCAAAGACCCTGTGGGCCATGCAAGACACTAGGATGTATACTGTTGCCAATGGGGAAAAAATTCTGTTAACATAAAGTGATACTTTTATGTAATAATATTTCTTTTAATATTGTCAATAAGTGTCCCATTCATTAAAACACTTGCCTGGGAAGGGGTATTATGAAACATTAAGTAACAAAATAGAAGACAAACTGGAAAAAAATTTTTTTTTACATGTTTGGGGACTGTAAAACATCATCAAAATATTCAAACCACCCAAAGCAATTACAGACTACTGTGATCCCAACCAAAACACCAAAGACATTCCTCTGAATCCTAGAAAAAAAATAATCTAGAAATTTCATATGAAAATAGATGGCAAACATCCAAAGCAATATTAAATAATGAAAACAGATTTCATGATATTATCCACACCATTTTAAGACTTACTAAAGTACTGTTAGTCATGTGGACACAGAGCAGCATACGAACCCCATAAATTAATATAGCCATCTAAAACCAACTAACATTTCAAATGAGCTAAAATCAATCCTTGGAGAAAAGAATTTCTCCATTATAAATCATGTTGGGGATACTGGATTCCAGAGGCAGAACTATCAAATAGTAACACTACCTTATACTTTATACAAAAATCAACTCACAGGGATTTCAAGAAGCAGATTAGGGAAAAAAATCCTGATTTTGACAAGAAAAGTTAGTGGAAACAATACAGAGGAAATGGATGCCAGGGGATAACTGGAGATAATTTTGCGTGGTAACTCAGGACAGAAAAAGGAGAGACACCATGAAGAAGCATGGACACTGCAATCATATAGAAGCAATTTGGGCAGTGGAGGAGAGTACATCCTGATAAAGCAAGTTTGGAGTAGACCACTGTAGCCAGACTCACTGGTGATTTTGCAGACCACACTGACTCCAAGTTCACATTAGAGCCAGAGATAGGAGCAGATGGTCCCATATTATTCTGAAGAGGAACACGCTTCTTTTTTCCCATTTCCTCACAGAACCGCTCAGACTAGAGCAAAGATACCATTATTTTGAAGGCTGCCTAGACGAGGTGAGAGAGACTGCCCTCTTAACATCAACATAGGTTGCCACAAATGCAGTGCCTGCTTATGTGTGCACAGGTGCCTGCGACTAGCTGGTTTTTAATCAAAAGGACAAATCTGTATTCCCCACTGATTTTGAGTCTGGGCTAGTAGATTGGCAGGGGAATGCATACTCATATAAAATTATGAGGCATGCACACACTCACACTTTACTGTAGACTTTGAGGGCACAAAGAGCCAACGTGGAGCACTCTCAGGTACTAGACTTGGCAAAGCCTCTGCTCTCCATGGAGTAGGGTCTCACAGGCCTAAGTCAATCTCCAACACGTAGCTGCTCGGTTGTCACCCTGGACCCTCAACCCACCCTGCAACACTGACCAGAATAGGCTAGCCCCACCCAGCACAAGCATCTAGATATTTCTAAAGGAACAGTCATTCTACCAAGTCACAAGAGCCTACTTCAAAGACAAAGAGCATCAGGAGAGAAAGCCTAGTGCTTCCACAAATACATCAAAATAAATGCAGAGATACAACAAACCTAAATGAGGAAAACATTATTAGATGTTTAATAGGAGCAGAACAACTCTTCAAGATTATAATATGAAGATCCAGAGATGGGTGAGATGCTTGAAAATATGTAGGAAAAATGACCAAACATTGCTCAGAAGTACACAAATTATGGAGAAAAACGAATCTATACAGGATATGGATTACAACTTTTGTCAAGAGATTTTGAAGAGAAATCAGACACATTTTAGAAATTAAGATTCCCGCCCCGGGCTACTGGAGTAAAATTCGGGGAGCGAACCTTGGTGAGTTGCTAACACAGGGAAGTGCCTGCCCTTAGCAGGGGGTGAGGAGCAAGTGGTTCTCAGGAACACAATATAGGAAGGGTGTCTGAACTGAGGAATATGTGGCAGGCTTGGAGCTAGGCGGTAAGGACAGAGGGGCATCACCTGGGTCTTAGGTGCCCACAGGATTGCAGAGTGACAGGAGTGAAGAAGGGCGAGGGGAGCAAGTGCTTCCAGCAGCAGAGTAAGCACTAGGAAAAAAAAATAAAGAAATTAAGACTGCGTATGCTAAATACAAAGCTCAATATCCAAATCAGAAAAAAAAAAAAATCCTGGGAGATATCTGTGAGACAAAAATAAATGATAGAAACACTGGAAATAATGTTCAAAATATATATAGAAGTATCAAGCAACCAAACATGTGTAACCTAGGAGTTTCTGAAGGCATGGAAAGGGAGAATGGATTAGAAGTTCAATTTAGTAAAATAATAGGAGAAAATTTTCCTAATGTGGAGGAAATAAGAGTACACCCAGGAAGAAAAAGTACAGGATTAGGAATTATATTCACCACAAAATATTCAACAATATAACAAAGAAAAGATTCTAAAATGTGCATTAGAGGATTGACAGGTTACCTTCAGAGGATTTCCCGTTAGGCTAACTGATCGTTTTTCATGAGAAACTCAACAGGCTATGGGGGAATAGAGAGATACAGATCAAGCCCCGAAAGAAAGGAAATGACAACCCAGAATAATGCACTCAGCAAAGAGCGTATTTATGCATGAAAAAGAAATATATTCCAAAGCAAGCAAATTTAGAGAATGACTCCACCCATCCATTCATTCTTAGAATGTTGCTTAAAGATGTGCTTCACATAGAAACAAAGTCATGATAAGCACTGCAATTACAGGACATGAAGGTAGAAAATGTCCTAGTGAAAGTACAAAATGTAGCCAAAGCAAACAATGATGACCTTTATGTTGAAAGGTAAGACTACATTGTTCCCTTTCAGTAATAACCTTGAATACAAATGGTCTAAACTTTGAAACCAAAAGATTTGGACTATTTGCTGCCTATAAGAAACACCACCTTGACAACAAAGATACAAACAGACTGAAAGTGAAAGGATCGAAGAAGATCTTTCATGCCAACTGAAATGAAAATGCATAGGCATAGCCATTCTGTTATCAAACAAAATAGAATCAAACACAAGATAAAAAATGAGAAATGGCATTATATAATAACTAAGGTATCAACTCAACAAGAAGATGTAACCATAGGAAATGTATACTTGCACAATGCCTGGGCATGTGACAATGTAGCATGATTAAAGAGAGGCAGACACCAGTACATCTACACCCCTCTTTCATAAATTAACAGATCAATTAGACAGAAAAACCAAAGAAACAAAACGAATCTATACTATGGATCAAACGGATCTAATTTTTATGTAAAGAATATTTTGTCTCATAGTTGCAGACCACATTCTTTTTATCAGCACATGGATCATACATTTTGATAGATCCTATGCCAGGTCAAAATAGCAAACCTCAAAAAACTAAAATAATTCCATTTATCTTTTAAATCTATGGAATGAAGCAGGAAATCAATGACTTGAACTTTAATGTGCAAACACACAGACTGAACACACTGCTGAAAGAGCAGTGGGTCATGGAAGAAATCAAAAGGGAAATAAAAATTGGGAATATAACACAGCATATAAAAATGTAGGGGTTATAACATAAATAGTGTTAAGAAGAAAGTTCATAGCAATTGTTTCCTGCGTCATGAAATTAGGAAGGTACCAAATGAATGATAAAGCAATGTATTCCAAGAACTTAAAAAAAAAAACAGCAAACCAAACCCTGTTCACTAGGAAGAAATAAATTCAAGAAATAAAATTGAACCAAAAAAAAAAAAAACAGTAAATGGAAGAACTCATTGTTTAAATAATCAGAATAGATACACCATTGGCCCAAGCAGCTAAGAAAGGGAAGGATGGCCCTTTTTGTGAACATTGTAGGTGCCCTGCCATGTGCATCTGTTCATCTGCACAAAATAAAGGCAGGACTGTGCAAGGAAGTGAAGGAAAACAGCAGAAGGTCCATGGGACAGGACAGAGCTCAGGAGCACTGCAGGCAGTCAGATGCATGGGTTAAGCAGTGTCCAGCATGAGCCACAGCCCAACACCACTTCAAGGAACAGTTACCACACAGTGGGTCTTGAAAGAGACTGGACACACAGTGTGTGGTCACAGTACTGGAACCATTGCCTGGAGTCAACTCTCCTGACACAGTCCAGAATGAATAGGCACAAGATTTAGGGGGAAATCCGGTTGGGTGACCTTGAAGATGGGATATACTTCTTTCTTCCACTTTCCCACAGAGTGGACCATTCCAGAAGTGAGAGGCTGCCATTTTGAGGGCACATAGCCACAAGGCTGCACACACCATTGCATATGCCTATTTGTACATAGATGCATGAGAATAGGAGATTCTGTCCATAGAAGAAACCCATGACCTTCACTGAGTTAGAGCAAGTAGCCTGACAGGGGTGGCATGTACAGCAACCCCTCCACCAATATTCAAGTGACTTAACACAAAAAGTGTTATAAAAACTAAAGAAATGCATTCCATAGTAGTCTGTTGAATAGTTTATACAACACTATAGGATAGACCACATGCCAGGCCATACAGCAAGCCACAAAAAATTGAAAACAATTGAATTCATATCATGTATCTTTCCTCACCACCATGAACTAAAACTGGAAATCAGCAACTCAAAAAACTGTAGGAAATATGCAAATACATGGAGGCTGAACTACATGCTACTGAGCGAATACTGGTTATGGAAGAAATAAAAAACTTTATGGAAATGAATGAAGAAGACAGCACAAAGATCAAAACATATGGCATATAGCAAAAAAAAAATGTTAAGAGGGAAGTAGATAGCAATTAGTACCTATGTCAACAAATTAGAAAGGCATCAAATCACTAATACATCTCAAAGATCTAGAAAAATAAAAACAAATCAAACACAAAGTTAATGGAATTATAACTAAAGAATATGCAAAACTGGAACCATGAGTTCAATGATCCTGGATCCTATATGGGCACCGGGTCTAATCCCGGCAGTTGTGGAAAACAAAATCAATAGATTAAATCAACTAATCAAAGAACAGGGAGAAGATAGATATCAATACAAAGAGGTGAAAAGAAAGATACAAGCATAGACACTACAGATACAAAAAATTATCAGAAAATACAAAATCCATCTGCCACAAATTGGAAAATCTAGAAAAAATGGATAGATTTCTAAACTTTTACCATCTGCAAAGAAATGATTCATGAAGACACAGAAAATCTAGAGACCAATCACAAAGATGGAGATTGAATCAATGCTAAAGACATTTCCAACATATAAGCGTAAGACTGAATGGCTATACAGCTTCTGAGTTCTTCCAATATTTTCAGAAACATCAGTCACCTGGATCAAGTGGGATATAACATTGGTATGTGGAGGTGGCTCAATCTATGCAAATCAATAAAAGTGATACACCATACTAACAACCTGAAGATTAAATCTCCCGTTTATCTCAATAGCATCAGAAAAAGCATGTGATACAACATCCTCTCATGTTAAAAACTTAAATCAGGGGCTGGCGGCATGGCCTAGCAGCTACAGTCCTCACCTTGAATGCACACGGATCCCATATGGGCACCGGTTCTAATCCCAGCAGCTCTACTTCCCATCCAGCTCTCTGCTTGTGGCCTTGGAAAGCAGTCAAGGACAGCTTTGGGACCCTGCATCTGTGTGGGAGACCTGGAAGAAGTTCCTGGATCCTGGCTTCGGATTGGCAAAGCATTGGCCGTTGTGGCCACTTAAAGAGTCAATCATCGGATGGAAGATCTCTGTCATTCCTCCTCTCTGTATATCTGACTTTCCAATAAATAAATAAATCTTTTAAAAAATTTAAATCAATTGACAGGATGAATTACTAGTATCTATAAAGAGCTAATGGAATTTCACTGCAACAAAATATAGAGCCCAGTTATCAATGGGCAAAAGATATGAACAGGCATTTCTCAAAGGGTTAAATTCAAATGAGCAATAGCCATATCAAAAAATGATCAGGGCCCGATTCAGTAACCTAGTGGATAAAGTCCTCACCTTGCGCACACCGGGATCAAATATGGATGCCAGTTCTAATCCAGGCAGCTCTGCTTCCCATACTGCTCCCTGCTTGTGGCCTGGGAAAGCAGTCAAGGATGGCCCACAGCCTTGAGACCCTGTATGTGCGTGGGAGACCCAGAGGCTGCTCCAGGCTTCAGATCGGCTCAGCTCTGGCCATTGCAGCCACGTTGGGAGTGAATCAATGGATGAAAGATCTTCCTCTGTGTCTCTCCTCCTCTCTGTATATCTGACTTTGCAGTAAAAATAAATCTTTTCTGAAAAACAAAAAAATAAAAATGCTCAGACTCATTAGTCATCAGGGAAATGCACATCAAAACCATACTAACTTTTCTCCTCACTCCTGTTAGAATGGCTATCATGTAAAAATCAAAGGAACAAATAAATGCTCTTTGGTTGTGAGGAGAAAAGTACTATAAATCCACTACTGGTGGCAATGTCAACTTGTGTAAATGGAGACTTCACCAAGATCTGGAAATAATTCTGCCACATGACCCAACCAACCAACTCCCAGAAATTTATACTAGTGAAATGAAATTGGTATATGAAAAACTGATCTTTACCCCATTTTTATAACAGCTCAATTCACAATAGCTAAGAAATGTAATCAATCCACATTCCACCAACAGATGACTAGATAAGGAAAATGTGGTACCTACGCACTGTACAGTAACACTCACCCATATACTAGAGTGACATCTTGCCTTTTTCAGTCAAGGGTGTGTAACTGGAAGTTACACAATGCTTCATGAAATAAATCAGTTTTGAAAACATATGTCATGTTTCCCTAATCTATGATACCTAATGTATATGGTGCAAAAGATATTCTGTATAAGTGTGTGTGAGTGATACTCTCAGATGTGATTAGTGTATAAAGCCTATGTTTACACTCATGAAGAACAGGATTTTTTCTCTTGTTTGTTTTCCCTTTGCTTTTTCTGTTCTTTGTGATTATTATTTTATATATGCCATATGTTGATATAATTTCTTAAAGGAATGTAAAAGACCCAGAAAGTAAAAGCTGACATGAAAAAGGAGATAAAATAATACACATCACAGACATATCTAGAAATCATGGGGATTGTGTGGAAGAGCTGATGGCAACACACTGGAAAATCTAAAAAGAATGGATAGATTTTAGGACACAGTCTACTTAAAGTGTTCCATGATAACAGAAAACCTAATTAGACAGTCACCACAATGGAAACTGAAGCGATAATAAAGACTTTGCCCATAAAGAAAAACGCAGGCTCAGGTGGCTTCACTGTTGAATTCTATCAAACTTTTCAGGAAGAATTAATTCAATTCTTTGCCAACTATTTAATACAATTAAAAGAGAGGGGATCTTCTCTACTGCTTTTATAAGGCCAGCATCACATTAATTTCCAAACCAGAAAATGATACAACAAGGAGAATTATAAACCAATATCCCTGATGAACATAAGTGCAAAAACCTCCATAAATTACTAGCAAAATGAATCAAATAACACATCAAAAAGATAATTTACCCAGACCAAGTGGTATTTGTCCCTGTTATGGGAGGATGGTTCAATCTATGTAAATTAATAAATGTAACACATGTTAACAAGTCGAAATATAAAGACATTTTATCAATAGATGCAGATAAAAGATTGGATAAAATATACCATCTTCCCCTGATTAAAATCTACAGCAAATCGGGTATGTTAGGATCATTCTGACATGAAGATCAAGGACTAGACATGGCAGCCGACTCACTACTGCTATTCAAGACTGTCCTAGAAGTTTTAGCCAGCGCAATTAATCAAGGAGAAAAAAACAAAGGGATGCAAATTGGAAAAGGAAGTCAAGTTATCCCTGGTTGCACATGATGTAATTCTCCAGATTGGGGAAACAAGAGTCTTCTAAGAGGCCATTGTACTCATAACAAAGTTCCATAAAGTAGCAGCATATCAACACACTCAAGATCCATATCCTTTGCATACACAAATGATTCTATAGCTAAGGATTTGTAATTCAGTCAGTCACAATAACTTCAGAAAATACCTTAAATTTAACCAAAGATGTAAGGGATTAGCAATGAAAATTATAAATAAAACAAAGAACTACAAGAGGACACCAAAAATCTGAAAAAAATTTTCCATGTTTGTAGATTGGCAAAATTAATATCAAAATATTCAAACTGCTGAAAGCAATTTATAGATTATCTGTGATCCCAAAGTATTTTTGACATTCTTCTCATATCTAGAAAAAAAAAGTTTGGAAACACAAGACACCCTGAATAGCTAAAGCAATTATGAAAAACAGAAAATAAAACAGAAAATATCACAATACCAGACTTCAAGTCATTCTACAGTACAGTTGTAATAATAAGTAAAAAGCCTTGAAATGACAGAAAAAATATGTGCAAATCAATGGGACAGAAAATCTGTGAAATTATTCCACACCTCTTCAGCCAACTAATTTTTTGACAAGCAAACTGAAATGAATCCAAGGAGAAAGAACAGCCTGTTCAACAGTGCTGGGAAGATCATCTGCAGAATTATGAGTAAAAGAATCCTGACTTACAAAGATCAATTCAAAATGGATCAACCATTTGATCCTACAACCTGATGCCCTCAAATTACTCTGAAAGAAACGGATTAGGAAAAGATTTCTTGGACAAGACCTCAGAAGCACAGGCAACTACAGCAAAAATGATCAAATGGGATAACGTTAAGGTAAGAAGCTTCTGCACAGCAAAAGGAAACATTAAACAGATACCATTGGTAAAATGAGAGAAAATATTTGTAGATTATGCAACTGAGAAAGGAGTAATATCCAGATTCCATAAAGAGTTCAAGAAATTAGAAAAAATCTATTTAATAAATTGACAGAGTAAATGAACAGGAATTTAAAAATATATATAAATGGCAAACACATGAAAATGTGTGAATTGTTAAGTAGCCAGTGAGGTTTCATATTGTCCCATTTAGTGTAACTATCACCCCAAATATCTGAAAATAACAAGCACTCTTGAGGATGTAAATTAGCATAGACTCCAGTGTCTTGTTTGTGTAATCTGTAAAACTGGTGGACTATTGTTGGAGACACTATGGCAATTCCTCAGAAAGCTAACATTCAATCTGCTATATGACCTAACCCTTCTACCCCTGAAAATATACACAAAGCAAACGAAGTGAGCACATGAAAATTTTACCTGTATCCCCATGGTAATGGAACCTCAATTTGTAATGGTAACATGTGGAAGCACTTTAGATGTCCAACTCATACTTGTATAAAGAACTTCTGGCACATGTATGTGATGAAATACTACTCAGCCATAGAGAAGAATGAAATCCCTTGTTTGGCAATAAAATAGAAGTAAAGATCATTATGCCGAAAGGGCCAGAATCAAATGTTCTGATATTTTCTAGGCTAACACAGAAAGTATGAAATATTTTAATGCATGTAGTGCAGATGACATCTTGGGATTGAAGTTGTATGTGATAGTGTTTTCAAATTTTTTTTTTATTTTGAATTCTACGGTACAATTCCATAGGACCTGGGATTTTTATAACCTTTGCTCTACTGCTACTTAATGGTACTCATTCTACTATTTACTTACATAATTCTTTATGTAGCTTTAAGCATTTTGATTTTGTGAAATTTAAAACTGTTGTCACAAAAATTAAGAAGAGGGAAGAATGCATGTGTAGGTGCTTACGTTTTAATCTGTGCATGTGAAATCTCTTTGTATTGGTAAAGAAAAATAAAGTAACGACTCGTTTTGTGGAGTATTAAGTAATGCTGTTGCCTACATTGTTGTTGGCATCCATATGGACACTGATTTGAGTTCCAATTGTTCTACTTCCAATCCAGCTGTCTGATAAAAATGTGCCTGGGAAAGCAGTGGGAGATGGCCCAAGTTATTGTGACCGCTCTGACCATGTGGAAGATCAGGAAAAAGCTTCTACAGCCCAGCTCAGCCCCAGTCATTGTGGTCACTGAAGAAGTCTCCCTTCCCCTCTCTTTTGTCTTTCCTGCTCTCCTTGTAACTGCCTTTCAATGAAATTAATGTTCAAAAAATATAAACTTTATAAAAAATTTTTTTAAAAAGTTCCAATTCCAACAAACACTAAAACGGACAGTCTTCTTCAATTGCTTTACTTCAATTTTCTAAAAGAACTATCTTGCCAGTAAAATAAAGTTCTATCTAAATACTCCATTAAATCTGTTCATGTTGGCATGAGAAATTGTGACTAAAAAGTTACTCCTAATTTTTCCATTTTTATTGAAAATTAGTTGGTTAAATAGATAAATCTAGATTACTTTTGCTGAGTGTAAAAAAATATAACTATTTTCTTTGATATATAGCCAAATTACTATGCTTCATTTGTTTAATAAATTGATTCCCTACAACAAATTACTACTTAGTGATTATTCATTTCTCATATTAATATGATTTATTTGAATACAGTTAAGTTTCATTGACCATACATTTAGTTCATATTCCAGTAACATTTGTTTTGATTAAAGCAAGTTTATACCAAGCACTCATTTAAAA